CAGGCGTGCCGGCCCATTGGTGCTAAGATGTTAAAGCGGGCACTACCACTTCTACACCTTCTCTACCACTGGGGCTACTCTGGGCTACTTATCGTCACCGATTTAATATGATAACTAGCGATTAAATATTTTTTATTACCTTAGGGTTATACTTTTGTTAATGGAACTTATTATGCAATCATTTTAACATTTTCTTAACATCTTGCAATCGTGACTATTTCCCGCCCTTCACTTGTTTCTCTGTAACTTTTTGACGACTTTTTGTAACGAATTGGCTAAAATCTTGATGGCCAGTATACCTCTTTGGCTGTGCAAAGTTTAAAAAAGAAATAGACGAGACAGTTAACCAATCTTTTTAAAGCGAGTTTCTTTGAAAGGTTAATTGTCAAGTTTAGTGCCATCTCGTGTTTTGTTATAAAAAAGTGTTTAAACTTTTCAATATTTGTTACTAATACAAATTAATATACTGATTAGCGTTAGCAATATTATATGAAAAATGTTCAATGTGAAATGTCAACTATGCCTCGTCTATATTATGAATATCTTTGACTAAACGAGCTTGTCAGCAAAGAGGTTAGTTTCTGCACGAAAAAAGACAAATATCATTCATTAAAAATGCACATGCAAAAGATTACTTACAAGTTTATCAATATTATTCAAATATAATTAACCAATGGAAAGAATCACGTGAATTTATTAATAATTTATAATTGTTTGATTATTTTTATCAACGATAAGTGTTTATAATGCAAGATATTGGACACAGTTCTCTGTTGAAGTTCTTGGTGAAGAATACGTAAGTGATAATTTTTTTATTAAGAACTCGCTTTCGCCCGTGACTCTGACCGCGTGGACATAAAAAAACAAAAGTAAGTAGCCTGTGTGTTCTTCAAGACTATCCTCTACGTCTGTACCAAATTTCATGGAAATCGGTTCAGCCGTTTAGGCTACAAACTCTAACAAACATCCATCCATCTAAACTTTCGCATTTATAATATTAGTAAGACTAGTAAGATATATATACTAGTATTACTAGTATGAATTAAAAAACATTGGTTTCAAATGACGAATACGACGGCCATTTTGATTTTTTTTTATTTAGTTATTTTTGTGTAAAATTGTGAATAATCTAGATATATCTATATATAATAAAATTGGAGTGTCTGTTTGTGATATCAAAAGAAAAATTCCGAATTTCACAAAGATGATGTATTTGCGTTGCTCCTCATAAGGTAAATCGCATTTTTTTGTCTGTCTGTCTGTCCGCAAGCAGCGTTTGTTACGGGTAATCTCCGAAATGACTTTCCGATTTCGACCGAACTTTAACTAAAGGGTAGTTGTCATAGACGGGCATATTATGGGCTACTTTTTTAATATTGCGTGGACGAAGTCGCGGGCAATAGCTAGTCTTTAATAGTTAGTTATAGTAATAATATATTATAATAATAGTTTATTATATTTTTATGAATTGCAGAATGTCAGAGAAAAACATCGAATCAAATGTACCAGGCGAGCATAACCTCAGAGAAGTGAACGATGGACTCAAGGAAAAAGAGTCTCCAACCAACAGAGGTAAAGTTCAAACTTCAAACATTGACGAACAAAATCAATCCTTAACCGAAAGGAATACGTCTGAAATTGCAACAGCAGATTTTACGCTATCCCCAGTGATAACGGTGATGAAAAATGAGGCGACATTTACTAAAGGAGATTTGAAACTGCAAAAAGTGACGGTTACGGAGGATATTTCGGTAAGATACCAGCATTTGTTCAAAAAGCAGACAACGCCGGGCAAAACTGTTATCACAACCGTACAGAAATTAGATTATAAATATTAAATGCAATAAAAGAAACGCATACTTAGATTGTCTTTTATTTTATTAGTTTGGTAATCACAATTTAAAACAGCGCCATCTAGTGTCGATTTGCATAAACACTTTCAAGTTAATATTTCTAAAAATGTTAAATTCCTAATACAGATAAATTTACTTTATGATAGACATTATTAATTTTGCAGTATATTATATTCTTTTATGAATAATAGAATGAATTCTAATAATAGTACAAATAAAAATAAAATACTAATACAAATTAAAATTGAGAAAGCGCCATCTATTACCAAAAACTAAACATTTTATTTCCAATACAGATTCATAAATTCATCCAATATAATACGTATATTATAGCAATTAATATTCTTTACATTAGTACTAGTAGTACATATCAGAAAACATGGGGTTGCATACTAAAAAATATTATTATTCTAAGGTTTATATATAATTATTTTTTAGCGTACATCTACGAGTAAAGGTGAAGAGAAATTCAATAGAAGATTAACTTACGAAATACATACTTCAGTAATGGAACCTGAGAGTGGACAAAATAATCCCAAAGATGGCGTTAGTTGTACATCTAAAGAAGGTAACATAGGTCATCTATATTTATATTATACTAATACTAGCTGTTGCCCGCGACTTCGTCCGCGTGGTATTAGAAAACATACGAACTATATAAATAACAAAAAGCTACGTATCCCGGGAACCGGACACCTCGAGGATGAGGCTTATCCCATGTGTACTTCAGATTTAGTTTTATACCTGTGTCAAATTTCAATAAGATATGTTGAACCGTTGCAGAATGATCGAGTACACATTAAAAAACTAAATTAATGAATCCCACGGGAACCGTAACTTATCCCGGGATAAAAAGTAGCCTATGTGTTCTTCCAGACTATGCTCTTAAACTGTGCCAAATTTCATGGAGATCCGTTCAGCCGTTTAGGCTACAAACGCTAACATCCATCCATCCATCTATCTAAACTTTCGCATTTATAATATTAGTAAGATTATTAAGAGGAAAGATTTGTATTTTTGGATTTTTGTACGTATTTGAATAACCCAAAAACTGCATGACCGATTTTAAAAATTCTTTCATCATTAGAAAGGTAATTTATCTTAGAGTAAATATAGGTTATATTATTTAATTTCACTCTGATGAAGTCGCGAGTCACAGTTAGTCAAACATAACCTTTACTTCACGGTGTACTTTTTATCACATTTTTATTGATTTCCAGAAAAGGAAGCTATAGAATCAAAGAGAATAAAAACGAAGATTCCTATGTCAAGATTAAGACAAGCTGTGAATAGAGTTAAAGAAGATTTGAAAGAAAAGAAGAGACTGGAAAAAGAAAAACAAGTAAATAAGCTCTACCAATTATATCCATACTATTCTGTACCGCTTAAATATCGCCACGTAAGTCTATTTACATTGGACTTGTTTATATTAACAGTCTTGATTATTTTCAGATACCCACTTTACGTAAATCTTCAATACCAAGATTAAAAGACATTAAAACAACATCTAAAGAAACGCATACAAAAGAAGAAACTGTTGTATCGAAAGCTGACGAAGAATTCGATAGAATATTTAATGAATTAAATCCAACCGATACATCTTTAGAATTTATAAATATAGAAAACGTCAATCAGATAGAAAACAGCTTTGAAGAAATAATACACGCGTATGAAGAAGATAAAATCACATCAAACATAGAAAAAACCAAATCAAGAATACCTTTATTAAAACGGAAAAGTGAACATGACATCGAAATACCGAAAACAAAAGAAAAACAAGCATTAAAAAAGAGTAAATCCGTAGATACTAAAACCTCTTTCAATCAAGGCAACACTGAAACAATTGTTTCACAACAAACAAAAGCATTTACACAAAGTAATTCAAAAACTGAAAAACATATGCAAAAAGAAATCCAAGAAATAACAAACAATAATACTGTTATAATTGAAAAGCAAACATCAGAAACATCATACAATATAAATAATACTGAAAACCAAGAATCAAATTCAAACGAAATCAAAGAAACCATTAAAGTTGCAACACCTGACTTCAATATTCAAACAACTGAAGAAAAATTAAAAAGAATCGAATCAATAGATAAAAGTACAATTGAAGACTTAACACAAGATATAACCATTACTAAAAACCTTAATTTCGATAAGGAAACAGTGTCAAAAATATACAAAATCGATTTCACCGAAAACAACTTTGATTCCTTAGACATGCCATTATTAAATGAGACAATAAAACGAGATCAAACGGAAATTCAAAATGAAAATAATGACTCTAAAACAATTGAAAGTATTAATTACAACGAAAACATTCAACTTGATAATAAAATAAATTCTATTAGCGATGTTAATACACATCAAATTGAAAATAACTATATAAGTAAAGAAACACAATTAATCCAAACAAATGAACAAAGCAATATTAAAATCGGTAGTCAATCTTCTATTAGACAAGTTTCTTTAGCAACAAACGAAACATCACAACTTGAAAATAACAATATAAGTAAAGAAACACAATTAATCCAAACAAATGAACAAAGCGATATTAAGATCGGTAGTCAATCTTCTATTAGACAAGTTTCTTCAGCAACAAACGAAACATCACAACTTGAAAATAACAATATAAGTAAAGAAACACAATTAATCCAAACAAATGAACAAAGCAATATTAAGATC